GTGTATTGATTGTCTCGTGCACTTAACCTTCCTGCTGACCTATTCGTTAAACCGACACGACGAAATAACTTGGCTCATGTGATAACATAACATAATATAAGTGCCTTGTTTCATTTGCTACCGCTTTGATCGCCGTGCCATGTCTGGGGGCACCAAACTAAATGGAATATGTGTGCCATGTCTCGTGGGTAAAATTTTATGAGATAACACAATGTCCGTTACAAAAATTAAACAGTGTTTGTTACATGGGTACAATACATAAATAGTTCAAATGAAACACAATGCAGCACCGAGAAAGTTCTACTACAATACAAATACCAAATCTAAAGCGTTGAACTAGCACAACTGTACCAATCCTAAGTCTAAAACATACTAAGTAAGTAACTCGTCATCCGAGTACCAGTCCTCTACCACAACCTTGTTGATGTGGCTAGGCTCACCTGCATTGCCCTGATCTGCCTGTCGCCTGTAGTAAGCTGCCTCCGCTTCACCTGCGGCCTCTGCGGCCTAAGTCAAGAACGCGTCCTCTTCCATCTGGCTCATGTGGCTAGGCTCACTTGCATTGCCTTGATCTATCTATCGCCTATAGTAAGCGGCCTCTGCTTCATCTGCAGCCTTTGCGGCCTGAGTGAAGAACGCGTTGTCATTCTCCTTCGCCTGCAAGCCCGCCTCTGCTAGAGCGATGAGCTCGCTCAGTCTGCTAGTGTCGTTCTCAGCCTCCTCCGCCTGTAAGCCCACCTCAGCAAGAGCGATGAGATCGCTCAACTAGGCAGTGTCGTCCTCATCCTCGTCCCCATCATCGGCCAACACAATTGGAGATTGGACGATGTGACCAGCTCGCGTTCTATGCTCATCTAACTTCTTTTCCTCATACCTTGCATGGGCCACCTTTGCGGCATGGTCCTTGCTGCATCCAGTCCCTTCATGTATAAAATGCAACCAATTAGCAACGCGATTATATTATATTTAAAATCAGGCAACGAAAATAAAAAGGCTTTCAAGCACTCACTGGCACACAATACAACAGTATGGTCATTCAAGACCTGCATCTATACTCTTATCTCCTCCCTTGCCTCCTTCCTTGCCCTCTCCTCCTCTAACGCCCTCCGTCTCTCCAATCCCCATTTGTCAAGCCCAACATCAATCAAGTTACGAATACCACGCTGTCTAGCAAACTCACGCATCTTGTTTTTGTGATATTTAACGAATAGGTTGACATAGTTAGATCCATATCCCCTCTTCCGTGCAATTACTTGCCTCCTCTTCAATTCATTCAAGAACTTAGCTTGACCATCATAACATTCCCACCTGTATTTCCTAGTGCTCTGTTCAAACGAAAAATTATATTATATATGTCTTAGCAAAAGAAATAAAATATGATTTCATGTTTACCATAAAAATAACCAACCTCATCATAGTCAATCATATGGCCGTAATAATGGCCTATTGATTCTTAGGACCATAGAGCCACCTGTATTTCCTTTGTCTTTGGTGGCTTCGGCCATTGATTCTTAGGACCGTAGAGCCACTCATTGAAACGACACTTCGCAAATCCATAACGCTACAAGAGAATACATTAGTACACGCACACATATAGAGATAAACATTTAAACAGATACACTTTTCACTTACTTCGTGTTTGTTTGGACACACAAACTCCAATGTATTCTCGAGGTTTATCACAGCTCAATCTCCGCATTCGCACAGAGGAGGTTCTTCGAGTCGTCTAACTACGGCTATGTGCTTCTCCTTAGCCGTCATTGGTGGGGGGTTAGGGGGGTGGAACCCACCGCTGGAAGTGCTCACGTGAATGTCTCCCTCTACACCAATCATCGAAAAGAAGGTACCTAGGGTCAAACTTGTCTGCACCGTTAATCCACTGAAAAAAGCACCTCTCATGGGCCTACACAACAAGATTCCAATAATATATTAGTAGCCTACTTATACAAATAAAGAAAAAAAGATAGTGAAAACAATTACTTACATTAAAATGACTGCATGTGTAGAAGCAACGCGCCGCTGTGTCTGGATGTCTCGATCGAAACACGTCGGCCGGAAAACCACAGTCACAGTTAGGGACAGGGATGTTAGGAGGGACGGGGGCATCTTTGCTAGACACGTCGGGGTATAATTCTCGAGGATGACCCCGTTTTCGCCAAAACTCCTCCCGATACATTTCTTACATCTAACAAAATGGTTGTAATTTAACAAACAAAAGTCAAAACATCACAAATTAATATCAATGAGAACTATTTGCATTACAACAAATAAAATATAACCTACACTTTGGTGCAAACTCTATCTTAGATGCAAACATGAAAACTATATAAAAACTATACTTTGGTTAGTAAAAAATAAAATTTGATACATCAACAGTGTGTCCATACATTTATTCACATATAAAAGTTGAGATGTAAACTCAAACAAACAAAATTCTTATAAAAATTGACCTTATAATACATGGTAATCATAATTCTAACTAACCAATTAACTTTAACATTGACAATCCTAATCATTCAATCCAACGTTCTAACGAACTCATATTTTCCTCCATACCCTAACTACTCATTCAAATCCTTCGATCCACCGTTGAGACCGAGGAGGAGCTTTATTACCTTGACAAGGCCCAAGAGGAGCTTCGGGGAAGGTAGGGAGGGGGCCGACAAGGGAGGGTGCGACCAGCGGCTGCCGGCGGTGGGCGCGGGAGAAGAGCGCGGGCGTCTGGCGGCGGCGGGCGCGTAAAAGGGAATGGAGAGAGAGAGAGCCACGTCGCTGGTCTTTACTGGGGCTGCCGTGCCATGTGCGTTGGTGCCGCACCGTGATATGTGGTGCGGCAGAGCTGGGCCACGTCACCGGTCGCTACCACGGTGGTAGCCTGGCCACGCCGCCATGCATGAGCGTGGTAGAGTGGTTTGGCCGCACCAACTGTCAGTTGACGCGTCCAAAAGTGTTAGTTTTGAAAAAAAAATAGTGTCGGTTTAAAAAATTGTTAAAAAATAAAATAAAAATCTCCAAAATCCAATAACAGGGCGTAGCACTCCCTATTCTTGACGCTGCAATCCTGGATGGATATTACATGGCATATATATAGGCAAAAAAACTGCCTGGTTTATTGCTTAACGGTTTGATTTGTTTGGTTACTAGGTAGGTTGAACTACTAGCTAATACTCGAATAGGATGGTTTATACAAAACTCACACACACAATATTAGCTTGGTGGTAATGACTTCTGGTCCAAAAATAATGACACGAGTTTAAATTCTATTTTTATATTAGAATTTTTGACTTTACCTTTATTATTTCCTCCCCTACTTTCTGGGATAAGAAAAAAAGAGACAGAACAAAACAAAGAGAAAGAACGGGAAAAACATAGAAAAGAAGAGAAAATAGAGATGGAACCAAGAAATTCTAGCGACTTTATGTAAGGCTCTGTTTGATTCTCAGGAATTGAGAATAATCGAAAGGTAATCTAATAAGGAAAGCCATTTTTAGATATTGGTTTCAATTTATAGGATCCAAATAAACCCTAAGAGCCTAGATTAGAAGTATAGTTTCGCATAGATTAGAAGTATATTGGTTTGGAACGATGGTTGCAGTAGAGTTTAAGCAGGTCAACTTAAGTGTTTATTCTCCTATTAAAATGTAAAGGAAGCGATGTCACTAAATTCCATACCAATAAAATTTGTTTTAGTACTTAACTTTTTATCATGCTGCTAGTACGGGTCTCATGTACATTAAAATATTGTCACTACACTCTCATTCTTTTAATAGCTAATATTATTTTGTTTATTCTTTGCACCGATGCTTAAATAATCTACAACTTACAAATTCTAAACCAGCTCCTTTGTGTTTCTTTCTCTATCCCCTTACACCTTGTTAGTACACATGTTGGAGTTAAAAGTATGCCACCACTCACCAAAGTGATTTAAAGTTTTCAATTATTTTACACATACTAGTTGACAATGTGATCCTGGAAGCCATTTGCTACAATGGCAAAAAGAAAGAAAAGATGGAGCTAAAGACACCGTACCAAAAGAGGTCGATAATCGTCACAAAGTGGTGATCTAGTGGATAAGGCCCCGCTTGGTAGGGCTTCTTTCTGGTTCCGACTCTGATCAGTAGAGGAGACTTATCGAATGATTTAATAAGATGAGCCATTTGGAGCTGTTTTTTCAATGAAAAAGGAATCAGAGCCGTTTTGAAGAAGCCACAAATTATAGCTCATCCAAAATAGCTCCGGCTCCTCGAGATGAGCCCTACCAAACAAGGCTTATGTCCGCTAGTCCTGTGTATCAAGGCATTTATTCTGACAATAATCACAGAAACTTTTGTGTCATTTGTTAGCTGTGGATCTAAAATGTTTATTTTGGTGTCGTAGAGCATCTTTAAAAATCTTTTTTAAACACACTCTAAATTCTTATAATTCTTATTTGGATAGCCATTTGTAGTAAAATCGCTATGTATATATTTCCAACTTCCAATGATTTCTGTATGCACACTTTGGAGAGCTGTCCCCGCTCTCCATCTTTAGCCAGTGAAAAAACATAAGAAAAGGATGACAATGTTGAAGAAACTCTTAGAGTGCTTTTTTAAATCAAATGTTTTATTCTTACAATAGAAAAGGATATATAAAGAGATTCTTAGGGTTGCTTTTAGCGTTTGTTTTGTCTCTATTACTAGTTAGTACTTCAAATTCTAAACGTCTGTAATTTCGTTGTTGTGAAGCAATGACATCTAGAATGTCCTCGTTGTGAAAAAAAAAAGATAGTTTGAGACTTGGCCAATTCCCTATCCGGTGACCCCGGCAGCCGCCAAAACCAGCGCACCTTCTTCTCTCTGCTCTCCGGCCGCCGCTGCTCCTCGCCCGCATTCGGTCCTACAGTGCATGGTATAACTGAGGTTGACAGCTCGACGTGGACCGAGTCCTGGTCCAAGTAAGCCCTGAGACCATCCTACCCGCCCGTCACAGCTTCTCGTAGAGTCCACGGCACACCGGCCGCCATGGACCGCGAGGCGCTCCGCATGCTGTGCTCGACGCAGTTCTGGCGGATGGCCGTCCTCTGGGCCCTCTCCCTCCTCCACTCCTACCTCCTCGTGTTCCTCCGCGGCCGGGCGGCCGCTCCTCGCCGCCGGCAGCCGCGGCCCCCGAAGGCTGCTGCCCCATCTGCGTTGTCACCGGGGTATGTATATACCCGCCCCCTATCGCATCGCATTCGCATGCGTGCCCGTCTGCCCCTCTCCCTATCTTTCTTCCTCCGCATGACGACGTCTCCCGTTGTGGCAGGCGACGTCGGGGCTGGGCAGGGCGGCGGCGGCGGCGCTCGCGCGGGAGGGCTACCACGTCGTGCTTGGTGAGTCAGTCGCGTCTCTCTTCTTGTTCTTATTCTTGCCTTGACATTCCGTCGAGCAGGTGCGGTGCTTCTCTTTAGATTATCATTGTTAAAAAAAATTTAGAAACTGTTCTACTCTGAGCTTTCAGAGCGCCAGGTTGCCCTCCTTTCTTCTAGCCATAGCCTTCGATGAATCTGCCAAACTACCTGCAACGGTTTTAGTGTCTTTAGTAGCCATGGCCTTCGATGAATCTGCCAAACTACCTGCAACGGTTTTAGTGTCTTAGTATTCATTGCTCATTGCTTGCTTACACACGAGATTCAGCTCGCCCCCTGCTGCTCTGGATTTCGTTCCAATTTCATTCGTTTGTATGCTTGCCTAGATTAGAAATTTGCCCTTTTCTTCTTCATGGGTTTACCCATCCATGTCAACTGCCAATGCGTAGTATCTTTTATTCCTATTTTCATGCGCTCAAGACTTGATATTGATGTTCAATGAGCCAATGGCTTTCTACTGATTTAGTTACTGAACCGAATGCACTTCTATTTTTTTTCTGTGTCAGCTGGACGTTCCACGCAGTTCTTATACGAGGTATTATATAGAGATCTTTCACTAGATGTTGTTATGCTACTGTTTACTCTTGTCATCATTGTCACACCCTGTGAAGCAGCAGCAACAACAACAAAGCATTTAAGTCCCAAACTAGTTGGGGTAGGCTAGAGTTGAAACCCAACAGAAGCAATCAAGGTTTATGCACGTGAATAGCTGTCTTCCAAGCACTCCTATCTAAGCCTAAGTCTTTGGGTATATTCCATCCTTTCAAGTCTCCTTTTATTGTCTCTACCTAAGTCAACTTCGGTCTTCCTCTGCCTTTCTTCACGTTACTATACTGGCTTAGGATTCTACTATGCACCGGTGCCTCTGTAGGTCTCCGTTGGACATGTCCAAACCATCTCAACCGGTATTGGACAAGCTTTTCTTCAATTGGTGCTACCCCTAATCTATCACGTATATCATCGTTCCGAACTCGATCCCTTCTTGTATGACCGCAAATTCAACGCAACATACGCATTTCCGCGACACTTATCTGTTGAACATGTCGTCTTTTCGTAGGCCAACATTCTGCACCATACAACCTAGCAGCTCTAATCGTCGTCCTATAAAACTTGCCTTTTAGCTTTTGTGGTACCCTTTTGTCACATAGGACACCAGATGCTTGCCGCCACTTCATCCACCCCGCTTTGATTCTATGGCTAACATCTTCATAAATATCTCCGTCTCTCTGTAGCATTGATCCTAAATATCGAAAGGTATCCTTCCTAGTCACTACTTGACCTTCCAAACTAATATCTTTCTCCTCCCGAGTAGTAGTGCCGAAGTCACATCTCATATACTCAGTTTTAGTTCTACTGAGTTTAAAACCTTTGGACTCCAAAGTCTCCCGCCATAGCTCCAGTTTCTGGTTCACTCCTGTCCGGCTTTCATCAACTAGCACTACATCATCCGCGAAAAGCATACACCAATGGATGTCCCCTTGTATGTCCCTTGTGACCTCATCCATCACTAAGGTAAACAAATAAGAGCTCAAAGCTAATCCTTGATGTAGTCCTATCCTAATCGGGAAGTCATCCGTGTCTCCATCACTTGTTCGAACTCTAGTCACAACATTGTTGTACATGTCCTTAATGAGCCCGACGTACTTTGTTGGGACTTTATGTTTGTCTAAAGCCCACCACATAACATTCCTTAGTATTTTATCATAAGCCTTCTTCAAGTCAATAAACACCATATGTAGGTCCTTTTTCTTCTCCCTATACCGCTCCATAACTTGTCTTATTAAGAAAATGGCTTCCATGGTTCACCTTCCGGGCATGAAACCAAATTGGTTCATAGAGACCCTTGTTATTGCTCTCAAGCGATGCTCGATAACTCTCTCCCATAGCTTCATAGTATGGCTCATCAACTTAATTCCCCGATAATTAGTACAACTTTGAATATCCCCTTTATTCTTGTAGATCGGTACCAATATACTTCTCCTCCACTCATCAGGCATCTTGTTCGATCGAAAAATATGGTTTAACAGCTTGTTTAGCCATACTATAGCTATGTCCCCGAGGCATCTCCACACCTCGATTGGGATACCATCCGGTCCCATCGCCTTACCTCCTTTCATCCTTTTCAACGCCTCTCTGACCTCAGATTCTTGGATTCTCCGCATAAAGCGCCTATTGGTGTCATCAAAAGAGTCATCCAACTGAAAGGTTGTGTCCGTATTCTCACCATTGAACAATTTGTCAAAATACTCTTGTCATCGATGTCGGATCTCATTCTCCTTCACCAAGAGATGCTCTCTTTCATCCTTAATGCACTTAACTTGATTGAAGTCCCTTGTCTTTCTCTCATGAACCCTAGCCATCCTATAAATGTCCTTCTCTCCTTCCTTCGTACTCAAACGGTGATAAAGATCCTCGTACGCTCTACCCTTTGCCACACTTACAACTTGCTTTGCAATCTTCTTTGCCACCTTTGTACTTTTCTATGTTGTCCACACTCCTGTCATGGTACAAGCGTCTATAGCATTATTTCTTCTCCTTAATAGCCCTTTGGACTTCCTCGTTCCACCACCAAGTATCTTTAGCCTCGCCTCCACTTCCTTTGGTTACTCCACACACCTCTGAGGCCACATTTCGAATGTTGGTTGCCATCTTCTCCCACATATTGTTTATGTCCTCTTCTTTCTTCCAAGAGCCCTGTTTGATAACCCTTTCCCTGAATACCTCTGACGTCTCCCCTTTCAGTTTCCACCACTTTGTTCTTTTAATTTTAGCTTGTTTATCCCTACGGGCACGCACCTGAAAATGAAAGTCTGCCACCAAAAGCTTATGTTGAGAAACAACACATTCCCCTGGTATCACCTTGCAACCCAAGCATGCCCGTTTGTCCTTTCTTCTTGTGAGGACAAAGTCAATCTGGCTAGAGTGTTGTCCGCTAATGAAGGTCACTAGATGAGATTCCCTCTTTCTAAAGAAAGTGTTGGCTATCATCAGGTCAAAAGCTACCGCGAAGTCCAGAACTTCCTCCCCCTCCTGATTCCTACTACCATACCCAAAACCTCCATGAACTACCTCGAAACCTGCGCTTGTAGTACCTACATGCCCATTAAGATCTCCTCCTATAAAAAGCTTCTCACTACTAGGTACAACTGTAATCAGGCCATCTAAGTCTTCCTAGAACTGTCTCTTAGCACTCTCGTCGAGGCCTACTTGGGGGGCATATGCACTAATTACGTTCAAGACCATATCACCAATGACAAGCTTGACTAAGATAATCCTATCTCCTTGCCTTCTCACTCCCACCACACTATTCTTGAGGCTCTTATCAATCAAAACTCTTACTCCATTTCTATTCGCAACTGTCCCTGTGTACCAAAGCTTGAAACCTGTATTGTCCACCTCCTTCGCCTTCTGACCCTTCCATTTAGTTTCTTGAACGCATAATATATTTATACGCCTCCTAGTCGCGGTATCAACTAATTCTCTTAATTTATCTGTAAGTGACCCTACATTCCAACTACCTAAACGGATCCTAGTTGGTTCGACTAGCTTCCTTACCCTTCGCACCTGTCGACTCAGATGCGAAGACCTTTGCTCATTTGTCACTACACCCGGGCGCCGATGTAGCGCGCCACTAAGGATGCGACGACCCGATCTTTGATCACTTGACACCGTGCCCAGATCGCGACACGGCGCGTCACGGGGGTGACGACCCGGCCCTTGCTCATTTAACACCATACCCGGGTTCCGATATGGCGCGTCGCTAAGAGGGTTACGCCCCAACGGTTTTCTTTTGGGTTTCATCTCCATTAGAATGGCTAGATTTAACGTTGCCTCGCCACGCCTATCACACCCTGTGAAGCAGACTGTTCAAGAAATTCAGAGGCAACAGCCATATGCCAATCTCAAAGAGTTTCAGGTCGACTTGGCATCCTTCAAGTCTATTAAGAAGTTTGGAAGTTCTCTCAAGCAATGGGTTCAGGAGAAAAATTTGGAGCCTTCTATTCAGCTTTTGGTAAATAATGCTGGAATATTAGCAAGGTCGCATCGAATTACTGAGGATGGCCTTGATGAGTACGTGCTTCACTTGATAGTGTCCCAGCAAAAGAAAATCATTGAGTCATCAAATGATGTTGTTTGTCAGCATTAAATTTTTGTCTTTCTGCCAATTGTTTATTGCCCTTACTGCATGCAAATTTCAGGATGATACAGACAAACTACATTGGTCCATTTATGCTGACGAACATTCTTTTACCATTGCTGAAGAACAGCTCGGTGCCTTCTCGAGTGGTTAATCTAACTTCTTTCACACACAGGTGTGGTAAGTGCTGAGTTTAGTTATTTGTTGTTAACAAACTTCACCACGAACTATTTGTACCTAAGTTGAACAACTGAAGCATGTGGCATTAACAAAAGATATCCATGTTATATGAATCTTAATATTTTGTTTCATTTTATCCGTTTCCCCTGTTATTATGCTAGTGTTTCCTGAATATGGTTGTGTCATGGTTCAATCCTTTGCTACCCACATAATTGGCTCTCTTGTTTCTAAGTTGATATATACTACCATCTGCGCACCATGTCATCTTCTATTGCAGTAACCTATAAATTTTCCTCAATGAAATTGGAATCCTTAGGTTGCATGGTCATGCACTACCATTATACTAGTCTCCCTTCCTATCACTCTAAGGCACATAGTTTGATAAAATGTGCAATTTTTGCATATCTAGTGTCAGGTATTGATGTATGCGAGGATGCATTGAGAGGGATGAAATTTGGCCGGTGCTCAGTAGGGGGAAGTTACCCCTTAGCTTCTACTTATGAGTATACCAAACGTGAGTTTATTGGCTCAATTTGTTATTATGCTTCATGTAATTCTATTCTAAATTTTTAACTTCTTTTTTTTTGTCGCAGTTTGTATGCTGATGTTCTCATATGAACTACATCGACAGCTTCACATGTCATCTGGCGTCTCTGTAATGTATGCACCATCTATTATCTGTCATGCATTTCCTTCCATCCTTTTTCCATACTGTGAAACCAGTCTTGCCTATTGAAGGAATACTGGGGGCCCTTTTCTATGCTGGTCTCTAAATGGACCGTTCTCTAGTTATGCTATGTTTACCAGGATATTTTGTTCTCTAACCACAGAGGAAAACCTTACTAAAACGAATCTGTTTTCAGATGTTACGAAATGATTGGCTTATATTGGCCCTGTTCGGCAGGACTGAAAAATACTGTTCCGGCTGATTGTTGTGAGAGAAAAATACTGTTCTGGCAGGACATGAACAGTAATTCTGTGAGAGGAAAAATAAGCCAGCTGGCTGGAAACAAGCCAGCCGAACAGGGCCATTATTGTTCTGATGTTTCTTGCAGAAGGATAGAATAGGAAAGCTCATCGCAATGTTTATTACTATCACCAATTAACATAAGCTCTAGCAGTTCACTCATTCATCCATGATTATCAGCTTGTCATTTAACATGATTCCGCTTGCACATATGACTTAAACATTCCTTGTTTGTAGTGCTGCTGCGAGAGCTTCCTCAATGTCTCTCTTGGTTCGCATTTTTGGCTCTGCGCTCCCTTAAACTCCTGCAGGAACCTGATACAGGGGTTGGTGCTGTCCTTGATGCTGCTTTGGCGCTGCCTGTAAGCTTGCTGTGAGATCCTGCAGAACTTTCATAGTTTTGCAACCAAAATGATGAACCTTGAATTGTATCCGGTCGCTGTTATTTCAGGAAGAATCTGGGAAGTATTTCTTTGGTGGGAAAGGGAAAACGATCAGATCCTCCCGACTGTCCTATGACACCAAAGTAGCCAAGAAGCTGTGGGCAGAATCGTCAGCAGTGTTCAAGGAGCTGCAGCTTAGAGGAGGCGATTTTAGGGATAGTTAAAGAAATATACATACAAATAGACAAGTCTGACACCCTTTTTTTTTTTGTATTGTCCCATTTTGGGTGGCCCTTCCTTTTAGCTTACTGAAATTTTGGTCCTATATACATGAGGCAGACTGGCAGAGCAAGGAAGGTCTTGTTCTGTAGGCGCAGCTGCCTGTTAACTGAAAACCAGCAATTTTATGAGGCATCCTTTTGAAGGTATACAAGCTGGTAATATCACTTCCATTTGTGTCGTTGCCTGCCTCCGATGTGAAAGGAGACATTGAAAACGGGGTGAAGCTAATGCTAGCGTTGAGCAAATGCAGTAAAAAAAATGCTATGCAAATGCAGGAGGCAATATTTGAATTCTGGCACGCATATACAGAAAACTAACGCAAATCCAGTTGTCTTCTTGGCTTTCTTCTCTTTCTGAAACAGTTCATTGTTGCGTTGTTGTGAAACACAAGAAAGAGAGCCGTAGAAGCGGCCTGCCTCTTCTTCCTCTCTGACTAACATGTTCTCAATCTGTTACTGCATCTTATCTCTTTCAGTTTCAATTCGCCGTGTCAGCCTAGGGTTCGCCTTCTCCTGCAGCTGGGAGCGGCGAAGAGATTCTACTGGTCCTGTGAAATCCAATGTCGACTAATTCTATGAATGTCTTCATTAAAGAGAGATATTTTGGATTATTGTTTCAGTAAAAACATCAATTGCAATGTTTGCCCATTTTTACGCCAAAAATTTAGTGCTCGGGTGCATCCAACGTAGACAACACAAAAGATCTCGTTACAGCAATTTTTTTTTTTGGCAACGCAGGGGATAGATAATTAACCATGTCCCACGATGTCCGAACAAATAACAATGTTCATCGATAGAATAGAAATGATGGTTTTACTGCACTGGAGCAAATTAGAGTGCATGAAACTACACTTGGCTTCGAGTTTGATAGTGCAAAATTGACTGAAGCCTTTACATCTGTAGTCCAGGATCACTTCTATTCCTGACAAGGTAGTCGCTTGACAATGTTGGTGGAATATCTGTATTATGTAGATGCGGCAACTTGTGAGCTCAACCTCAGCTAAATGAACATCTGCTCATGGTGTTGGCAAGTTGGGGCCTTTTGTGATGTATATATAGTACAACAAATACCGAACATCAAGCACTATATATCCATGATTTATCAACTCGCACATGTTTTGCATCTATCAGTTCATCAATAAGTAGTGCAAAGGGCAGTGTTTTTTTCAGTAGCAAGCTTGAATCTGAACATTCACATTAGTCAGGGCTCCCCGCCTGCTTCTTCTCTTGGGAAATCTCGCCAGGCTGAACAGATCAACGATCTTGGCCTTGCCATCAAACATAGCAATTGAGTCAGGTTCACCTGTTACTGTTGCTGGATCATCTGGGGACTTTGGAAAGCAGCACCATCTATAAGATGCCAAGGGGAAAAAAAGAAAGAAAACTTACGCATAAATGCATAGAAAGGGCCATTATTTGAGATACCTAAAGCAAAAGGCATTATTCCGGATGTCAATATACGCTTCACTTCAAAAGTACACGGGATATATCAGTCGCAGTATATAGAGAGAGATCTAGCAAAGTCACAACCAAAATCAACTGTATCTTCGGCTCCATAGAATATATATAAACTAACATCGAAAGTGAACAAGACATTCCTCCGGTCCTTAACGTCTCAAAAGCAGACCTTGCACTCTTTCTTCTCACCTGCAAAATTGGTCTCCACATCATCAAATGGCCTGGCGGCGAGTGCACGGGCTTCATCCACTCAGTTGCTGGCATTCGCTGGGAGGTAGTACTGGTAGTATCCCAGCACCGCGAGGAGGGCAACCAGCACGGCAGCCACTATGGCAGCTGGGCCAGCCCATGACCAGTAGGACTGCGCCTTCTTCCTCTTCAGGATCGCCTTGGGTGGCGGGGCCTTGCTCCGGCTGACCACATTCCTGTGCCGGGCATTCTCCTTCTGTTCTTTCTTTACCGTGGTGGAAGCTGGGATCACTTCTTGTTCCGCTGGGGCTTCCATGGCTTCATCAGACTTGGCATCCGATTCCGAGGGCTCATCAGTGTCAGCTGCACCAGATTTCTTCTTGGCTCTCTTCTCCTCTTTCTGAAAGAATTAGTTAGTTGTTACATTGTTACAGTATAGATCGCAGGAGGTGAATGAGAGAGAGAGATGAGCAGTACCTTCAGCTTCTTCTCAGCTTCCTTCTGTGCTCGGGCCGCGGCTTTTGCTGCCTGCTTCTCAGCCTGCCTCTTCTTCCTCTCCAAGGCAAGCTTGTTCTTCTCAATCTCCTCCTGCCTCTTGATCTCTTTCAACTTCGCCACATCAGCCTCTGTAGGCTTGGCCTTCTCCTTCGGGGGCTCAGCCTCATAATCATCATCAGCATCAAGAGCAGCTTTTGCCTTGTGCGACTTGACAGGTCCTTTTGAAAGAGCTTCAATCTTGGGAGCATCATCTTCCTGGGGAGCAGGCACTTCTTTGGCTTGTTTTGCAGGCAACTTTGCAGGCAATTTTACAGGGATGGGCTCTGGCTCTGAAGCTGGCGCCTGTGACTCGATAAATATGGGCTTCTCATCAGGATTCCTCATTCGACCATCTCGACTCAGCTGTCGGCTATTTAGGGAGGCGAGGATTCTCTTCTCATAGTCCTCTCTGAAGGCCTTACTTTCACACCATTGGGTCATGAACTTGTCGACCTATTAAACCAACAAATGTTTAGTACAGAAACATGCAGGCATCGCATGAGGTTGAGCCATTAATATCAACATATTTAGAAGCATACCTCAGTCTTGTGGAGCTCTTGCAATTCTGTCAGCATATTCCTTGAAGAATAATCCCTAGCTTTGCCTAAAACTGAACGGTTTTGCATGGAGGATGCGTTCTGGATCAAGTGCAAAAGAATATCACTGAATTGTCACATGTAATCATAAGCCAGTGACAGGCTTCCACGGGAGAACAGAAACCATGTCACGCAACCTCAGGTTACGCAACAAGCAATAAGTTAATCCACTCCAGCTTTCAAGGCACTAATGGCCAACAGGAACAAATCCTCATCAGCCTAAAACAGTTCTGATAACATCATACCACTAAATGAACTAGCATTACACATGGAATTCAACTGGTAGTTAAAATGCACATGTGGCTGCTATATAATGCGGTAAATTTAATACATGAATGGACAGACAGATCATAAATCCATTCAAAAGAAATATCAACAAAAAAAGTGGTAGTTGATGAGCAGGGGTGGATAGATGATGCATCATCACATTAACAGTTTATAAAAACAGAACTGTAAAAGGTGTATATACGATAACGTGTTGCCTTCCAGATTCCAGAATACAGAAAGCCTAGCAGAAACAAAACAGCAGGCACACTAATCCAACACAGCCATCTCTAGGTGGTACACAGTGAACAAGACACAAAACCAACCATAGGCACACACAGGTATATCTAAACAAAGAAACAAAAGCTGAAGACAGAAGAAATAGGGTTTCCCCCTTCTTAACCCAAGTATTGAACACAATAATACTAAAAGGAAAGACATAATTTTTGCATGGGCAATTTAAAAATATGTTAAACTTACTTTTGCATCGCGCACTGCTCTCAATTCTTGCAACGATTCATACACCTTGTCCTTTCTGGCAGTTGCTGCATCTAAATCTTCTTGAAGCGATGCAATCTCAGCATCAACAAGTTTTAACTCATCCTCCAGGACCTTAATCTTAGATCTTACTGCCTGTCTTTCCTTCTTTATTCCATCAATGCCCTCCCCGATGATCTGAATGTTCAGACTGCGGTTACCACTTATTTCTCTAAGAAATATATGCAGAAACAAAAAGATGAATTGCAGTAGAACACACTTACTTTGACCTGGTCCTGTATAGCCTCTTTTTCAACCACTGTACCTTGCAGTTTAGCCCTGTTAGCAGCATTAGAGATGACTTTCGATCTGGTTTTTTCAAGGTCCTTAATTTCTTTCACCAGACGCTTCTCCTCAGATAAAGGTATGCTCTCATGTACCATTCGATCATTCAGCATCTTGATCTAGGGGGAGCAATGGAAGAATAGCATATAGTTAACTATTTCTGGAATGGAAGCTATGTTAGCAAAAAGGTTCAGGACATACCGTTAGGTCAAGCTCTTCGATAGAAGAGCATAAACCTGCACTCTGTGCCCTCATGGCATTGTTTTCATCACGAAACTTGCCCAAGCTGTTCCGAAGAGGCTCCATCTCCTTTATCTTCTCATTCACAACTTCATTATATTGTTTGTTCTCAGCACTCAATGGCTTCAGCTCTGCAATAATACTGAAGCGCTCTGCCTGCAAAGTGTTTGTAGGTTATAAAATGAGATACATGTCGCTTCCTGGGGCTGTTCACTTCCATTAAGAATACATCTTGGCTAATGGCTATCAAAAGAACAAGCATGTTTTGAAACAAGTTACAAAGCATTCAACATCTTGTTGATGAAGAGTGGCGCATCAGTTAGGATTTAGGAAGGCTACTTCAATCCAATGAGGACCTGTAAGAAAAATACCTTCTTGGCTCTTACTGCCTCAATAAGTTTAGAACGAGCTTGGATCTTCTTCTGGAATTCTTTGTCAGCCTGCTCGAGTTTTGCCCTCAGTTTAGGATCCTCAAATGAGCGGATCTTGATGAAGTAGAAGGCATAAGTTTGCTTAGGTTCAGGCCATTCATCCTTCGCGTCCTTTGGAGGTGCCAGATCAGTGACATTGGTAGTTGTCTCTGAACCAAAAACAGCTGCCTCCTCGCGTTCTTTTGCAGTTGCTTTGCTTTCCTTCTCTTGGAATAGATTCACTTCTCCATCAGATACTTTGACCTCTGCTGGTGCTGCTTCAGCACCAACAGCCTCCATTCCCATACCCCTGCAGCAATAGGAAAAAGAAGATTGTCAGTGGAACAGGTTGCAATGAGGCAGAACAAAAAACAAAATCTGAGTAACTTCTTCTCATGGCTTGCAATACATGCAGTTAACTGAATATTTACTGGCAAACTACCCAAGAAGCATAAATGCATATCAAAATTTGTTTGCTGTCAAACAAACAGTGGTTCAAAGCAAATGCCACGGAGCACCCAAAAACTGGTCAATCCAAAAGGCATGTTGACCAAATCATCATGAAAACCAAACAGATATGTAAACAAAGTAAAAATAAGGAGTGCGGAACAAGGTATGTAGATCACATCATCATCAAAAGAGTAAATCCCTAATTGTTGGTACTGGGGGAGGGGGCATTTAATGTAAATATACAAAACACATCCACACCAACTCTGTTTCTCCTACCCAAAGTTGAATCAGGCATCAAACCTCACCTCCAATCGCCCTCTGACAGGAATTCTACACCAAGCATGACCATACCACTATATCCAAATCTACTTATCTATTTTGTCCAAGGAGTGGGTTCAACTGGAATCGACTGCAGCTGCAACCCCAAATTTAAAAAGCTAGGATGGGGCAACGAAAGGTTAGGTCTTGACATTAAAAGTAGGGTTTCTATTTTGGGAACATTCTGCCTGCACCATGGAATAATCCCTGAAATCCATATATGGCATCGCTTGTGTCAATGACATGTGGGGGCCTGGACGCACCTGTCATTTACACATGCAGTGGCATATAGGGCATTCAGAGAATGTTTGATGGCATAGGTGGAATTCAAGGAACTGATACTTTGCCCTTGTTTAGTTCGCGAAAAGTTTTTCCAAAAAGTGCTACAGTACCCATCACATCGAATCTTGCGATACGTGTATGTAGCATTAAATGTATACGAAAAAAAACTAATTGCACAGTTTGGTTGAAAATTGCGAGACGAACGTTTTGAGCCTAATTAGTCCATGATTGAACACTAATTGCCAAATAAAAACGAAAGTGCTACAATAGCCAAATTTCCAACTTTCACCCAACTAAACACGGGCTTTGCCCTTTACAGTTTTGTAATAGTTCACTTGCCTATTTCTTTATGTTTCCCAAAGTGGAAAAGTGGTCAGACGCAGTGGGACCAGTGTGCTGATGCAATTTTGGTGCTGGGTCGAGTTACACCAGCAGACATTGCAACGGGCAGATAGTTTGAACTAAACTGCAGACTGAATCACTGGCACACAAAGCCCACACCCACATGCTATCTACCCAGCACACACCAAAATAGGACTGCCTTGCATTAGCCGGTTCTGACTATATTTTCTTAACATAGGATTCTCTTATTGTGCAAAAAGATGCACTCAACATCTGATCGAACAGAATAGTGGAAAGAGTTTATGCATCACTGAAACTGAAAGCGACCATTGTGAACTCTGAAATGTAGTGGCAGAAAATAGATGATCCAGATATGGTAACGAATTTAATTCACTGGACACAGTCCATCGACCGACACACGGTCGGTTCCAATATAACGTGCTAGAGAATCAATCCCATCAGAATACTACACCAGCAGATTCAACACACGAACTGGGCCAAAAGGAACTCCCATCGAAGGAAACATGCAAGACCACGGACGAAGACTACTCCCGGAGGCGAGGCGCGGGAAATTCGGCACTGCGATCCGATTCAAAGACCAGCTAACAAACCCCGTCGAATCCAGGCGTGATCCACGAGGCACCGCAGATCACAGCCGCGCTTCCGCCGATCCTCTCAGTCTGGCGCGCAGCCTCAATTCAAGCGGCCGGCCGATCCAGATCTACGAGGCCCGCGCCCTTAATTCCCCCACGACCATTTCAATCTACCCAGAGGCCAGTGGCGGGCGGGCGGCACCGGTAAAGGGCAGATCGAAGTTAGCAGGCATGATACGCATACACTCGTAATTAGATCAGATCCGAATACAACTAACAGAAATAGCTTGAGTTAGGGTTGGGGTGCTCGGTATGGTACAGCAGGAAGTGAAAAGAAGGGGTGGGCGTATCTGGCGGGTGCTCGTCGCCGGCAAAGGATACCTGGGCACCAGGCGTAGGGAGGCAGCGGCTGAGAGAGAGAGAGAGAGCACGCGGGGTGAACAGAAGAAGAGAAGGCAAGGGGTGAACACGCAACCCTTGTATAAAGGCCGGGTACAAACTGGATCGGGGCCAGTGTTGGATGTAGCAGCCGCCAAAAAAAAAACCACTTCTATACATGGTTTTCTTTCTTAAAAAAGTATAGTATCTTTAAAAAAAGTATAGTACATGGTTTTCTTTCTTTAAAAAAAAGTATAGTACATGGTTTTCTCATGTGCTGCCAAGAATATTAGAGTTACTATTTTAACTTTTTATTATCCCTTCCATTCCATGCTTCTCCTACTAGCTAGCTAGTGTCATTTTTCACTAAAATATTACTAGAAGACAAAGTGATCATTTATTGCAATATCGCTTCTCTCGTTAGCTGGTAGGTATAATTTTTTACAAAACATTGCTAGAAGACAAAGTGAACATTTATTGGAATATCCTCTTAGCCCAACTCGGTCGTGGTGTATCATATCTCATCCGCTTATGTAAATATACTGAATCAACCATATTCTCTCTTCCATCTCCCTCAAATTCCTAGTGGCAACCGCAAGCGGCCGGGTCGAGCTAGCGTAGGCATAGATCATGGTTGCTACGTCAAAGTGTGTTAGTGAGCACGTGTCTCCACAACAAGGGCGGGTGACTGTGCATCGGTGCCGCAAGGCAAGGAGCACGTCTACACTACGTGCCCAAGAAAACCTTTGCATGACGAATCTACACAATTGTTAGTGGTATCTGTATCCATATAGAAATTGACCAAGGATTCATGTCATGTGTGCCTTCTCTTGCCAGATGGATTATGTATATGTGATAGATATGTGCTTGCATGTATATGTCATTATGTACTAGATGGAATCCAAAGAAAATGACGAAAAGTTTAATTCATTTCATTAGAGGGTCAAATGCGACTTTTTCATAACAACTTAACATCTATAGCTGCATGGAAATGATGGAGGCATGGAAAGGATGAAAAGTTGAAGTAGTGGCATTTGAGGGAATTCATGACTTGTATCAAGTCATATAATATTTAGTGGCATATAGGAATTAACTCTTGTTCTAGCCAGGTGAGCGGGGGACCGAGCCAAACCATACGGGACAAAAAACGCACGACCACTTCTCTTCCGTTGCAGTCATGAGCTGGGGTGGTAGTGCCATCCACATGGTCGCTCTTGTCACAAGAAGGTACCGTTGCTCCATGCTTGCGTCATTCGGTGGCCGTGCTTAATGCTCACCTAGCGCACCGACGACGACTGTCGACCCCTCCCTCATTCTCTCCCTGCTCAGTGTCGCCTAAATGTTGAGATGAGAGAGAAATGGAGACATGGGTGGTTCCACTAGCGACTGCCACGTCTATGGATTAGGTCACAAACTGTTGCTTCCAATCTACTTCTATGGAAGATATGCAGCCATCTCCGGACTTGTTATCGTTTGACAAAGAAGAAGGTCCAACTAGTCACAGACAAGGAGTGTTAAAATACGATGGAACGACCTTGAGCTCATTGCATTAGATAGCAAGACTACCGACAGACGAAATGAAAATACGTGAAGGATCAATGATCACAAACCTACGAGAGAGAATCCAAGTATCTCAATCTCAACCTAGGGGAAACCCCAAAAATAAAGTCAAGTGCTTAGCTATCAATCAAGTTTTAAGAGCCAAGATACGCAATAGTTGTCTACAAAAATGTGTTTTTTATTTTATGTGGTACTACTTTTTACCCATGTCTCATATTCTCTTCACTATCTCTCCTCACATCCACTTGCTATCAACCCACTATTGATAGGCTCTCGTGCTCAGGTTGTTGCTTGCATAAGAGTGGAGCCTCATCCCTTTTTCTCCTCTATCGGGAGAAAACCAGACAACTTCGAATCAATGTAATGACAGTGCAAGAAGGGCAAAGTTACATTCTTATTTCATGTTTGTTACTGTACACATCAAGGGGTATTTGTAGGGGCAGGAATCTTGGCGAAGGTGGCCATGAGTCTTCGCTCCCTGAATGGTCTATCTTTGGTAGGGGCGGACCCAGCCATATTTCTAGTAGGCTCGAGACTACCTTAGATTTTAGCCAAATTATTAGTACTTAGATTTAGAAAGTCCAAGCTAAAAAGTCTACCATTATTAAGTACTTCGGTCTCTAGACCCATCACTCCACTTGGCTGGTGCTAGCTTGTACTTTGGTATCGATCCTCTAGATTTTGAATGTCTTAGATTATATCATATTGAATGTGAAATATTTTTTTTACTAGACATACTCTGGGTTCAAATCCTAGGTTCACCATTGATCTTCGGTATCTTGCTTCAAGCGTAGCTGTACTCGCAAACTCATGAATGCTTCTTTCGAAGCCTCAACTATGAAGCCCTCATTGATTCTTATAAAAATGAATCAATCCGACTTTGTTGTCTTGTTAATAGAGGCATGTGTTCTTCATGGTCAAGCTCTCTCAACATCCTCTATATCAACAAAAATGCTAACTAGCTTGACTGTAAAATCGTTATTGTACTTACTCAAAATTGCTTTTCTCTCCCTATCTGCCACCTTTTGGGTAGGCTAGGGCTCTGTTCGCTTCGCTGAAAAAACAAGCCGAAACACTGTTCCGGCTGATTTGTTGTGAGAGAAAAACACTGTTTCGGCTGAAAAAACAAGCTGAAAAATACGGATTATAAGAGAAGCGAACATGACCTAGAATTTCTTATGAATCACCTCTGTTGTTAATGCTATACTACTTCCTTCTCAAGCTAGCATGTACTCCCTGTAACTTCCAGGTCAAGGCTGGTGTAAAGAGGACGGTAAGCATGCTTCGACTCCTCCTCATCTACTAGATTACCACAATCTTCTCGATGTTGATCACCGGTGCTACACTGCTACTGCAGGAGAATTCATGTGGTGAACA